AGCAAGGAATAGGGATTCCTATTTCGTTGATTTGATGTTGATGAGCCATTGGCCAACAGTTAAAAACGACGACTAAGTCAATACGGAGAGCTCCACGTATACTAAACGGAAGCAGAGGCGCCATTGGAGGTCTGGCTTTTGAAGATCGTTCACGTCCAGTATTTAGTACGATGTCCCAGAGTAATTAATTATCCTTAAAAATTTAATTATAAGTTTTGTCAACGCTCAAAATGTTAGCGTTGAAATGTTTATCACTTAAGAGGACTATTTTTACACAACAAATATCAAGCGCGTCGCGGCGATTTCTTTGCCAGATTTTTTTTTCCATTTTTATTACACCTATATATTTTCACTACTGCGAAAGAGCACGGAAATTTATTCAACCCCTCAAATGATGGCAAATCCACAATTACCAATCAAATTTTAATACGTCTGATCCCTTATTAAAAATAACGATTTTTTTCTATTTATAATAATACGCTTGTTTGTAGTATAGGTACGTCAAACGAAATAAAAATACCTAACCAGTCACAAAAAAAGCAGGAGTTAGAAATAGAAATTTTTGGTGTAGGTACTTCGTGAGCCTGTCACATGTATTAATTAATATTGGTAATTATGTATTTAGTCAAATTCAAGCAACCGAATTTTTTTAATAGTTTGTCCTCCTCAAAGCAGGTGCGTGAAAACAAATCTTTGCTAATGATCCATGCTAGAAAAATGCTGTTGTGTTTCGTGGTAAAGTAGTGTAAAAATTGCACAACTTCGTCTGTTTTGGCTTGACCATCTATCTCCCTGTATTATAGAGAAGACGCTTTCCCGTATTTCACTTTTGTCTGATAAAAGTAGGTACATTCTACAATATATCTCAATAATGACGACCATCATCATTGCAGAGTTGGTTCTTTGGATGGATAGGTACATCAGGTTGGGCCACATCAATCGCCAAAAAACATCGCCATTGTAAAAGCGATACCATCTACTGAACATGATCCTTCGATGCTGTTTTCACGTTTAGAGAGTTTGAAATTAAAAAAAAGTAGCAAAGTTCATTGTTTCATTTTTGCAAATTCGTCAAATATCCAACTGACCTGATAATTTCAACAAATATTTAGGTATTAGGTAATTGTAACTGACAACCAAGCGATTTCCCTACTGGGTTCGTTTGTTTAAGGCGTTTTACAATAGAGATTGTGAATGTTATTTTTGTTTTATTTCTTCTACTTCTTGTTTTCGTTTTTTGGGTTTTGTGTTTTTGTTTCGTTTTGTTTGGGGTAAATGTTTTATAATTTGAATTGGGGTTTATAATTTTTAACGACCTACTATGTACCCCTGTCGTTCGGGAAGGGTGTGACAGCAACCAAGCCCTGGACAAGCCGGACAAGCGGCTCTGTCCAGATGAGACCGCATTTCCGCACTACTAGTGGGAATTGTATGGACGTTAATGTTAACAAACCTTTTCTGGGTTCCTCGTCAGGGGGACTAACGACGGAATAGCCCGACATTTGACCGATAGGTGATACGAAGATCGCCGAATCTGCTAGTAATAAATATATTATAAATATGAACCTCTATACAGGATGTTGATAAATGTAATGCTGATATTTCAGAGACTGAATGGTGATAATACTCATCAAAATAAAATAAAAATGCAAATGTATGGTCTACAGGGCGTCATTTTCGTCATAGCGTCATAGCAAAGAAAATGTAACACCCTGTTTACTGCGACCAACTGTATTGATACTTTATTGTAGATATTAAAAAATAAATAAAATTTGGAACAATGATCACAGAACATAAGAGTAAACGCAAAATACGAGAAAAAAATTGAAACTTGCTGGGTGGCAAAGTTTATTATTTATTTTATTTTTTTTATTTTTGACCTTTAAGCTTTCGCATCGCTGCTAAAGCGCAGTCCAGAGACTCGCCTGTCTCGAGAGTCACTGGAGCCATAAAAATCACGCCAACTTTAACCATGGAGGCATTTCTGTAACTAGAGCCTTTACAGTTAACTATGGAGGCAGAAGCTCGAAAAGTTTTCATACGGCTAAACGATTGGGACGAGTAGAAAGATCGAGACAGCCTTGGGCACGGGCGGGTCTGAAAGGAAACCCCTCAGATCCGATCCCCTCCTCGCAAGAAGGGATGTGATCCGAGTTATCTTACTAAGACCATTGTATATGTACCTATATACAATGCTAAGGCTAATGAGTTATAAAGTCGCTCTCCCGATAGGGCAGTGGCAAATTCAGATTGCTCGTTTCCCAAACCTGAAGGGCTCGTGTGGTTTACAAAAGGGTCCCTAACGGAAAGGGGAACGTGCAGGCTCCGTGAAGTAGGCTCGCCATTCTAAGTACATTTTTTTTTTGTTAATTGTAAAGCTTAGTACTTCATTTGTGACCGTATGTGAAATCGAAAATAATTCAACATACCTTTTCGTTAGAGAGGGAGAGGCATTTGAAAATGGCGAGCCAACTTCACACATGGCTCGCCACTTGAAAGTATAAATAATGAAGTTGTGTGCAATTATTAGTACCTTAAGAGAGGTATTTTGTGACGTTTATAAATCAGCATACACAGTCCGTTACTCTTTGGTTAAAGATATATTATAATTTGAGAATGTTTATGTTTAGAATCGTACATGCAGCTGTCACAAACGTAAATAATAATACAGACATTAATTTTGTTAATTTTAAGTAATAGGGATCGACCGAGAGCTGACATCAACGTCTCCCTTGGTCAGCAGCATAGCAACGCGTTTCAGACAGAAATTTGCACAGGTGAACCTCTGTACAGGTAAAGAGTGCAGTATAATCTTTGGTACAGGCAAAGAGTATCGTTATATACTCTTTGGTACAGGTTACCGTAAAAATCATATATGCAGTGACATTTGTCAGGTGGCCCTGAGCATATGGTCCGTCACTGTGATGCTTTGATCAGGGACAAACATCAGCTTATTGGCGACAGTTATCTGGAACCGGGGAGGGTGAAGCAACTTGGGCTAAACAGGGTCCCATTCTTTATTGAGAGAAATGGGCTCCGAACCTAGTTGCTAAAGAAATAGGGTAGGCACAATTGGCCTTTGGTGTGCCTAAGTGCTGCCTGGTCGGGCTCCCCTTATGAATAGAAGCAGATAGGTAAGGTACAGAGAGTCTTGAATCAATATAGTCATGAAAACCATCACGTCAAATTTGGCCATGGAGGCAACTAAAGGATGGACGAAGGCAATGGTGGGGTCTTCGTCGGGCCCGAGCCTACCCTAGGATTTGCTCCCTCGGTTGTCTTGTCAGGGCCAGGATAAAGATAACAAGCACGGTGTAAGTACACCGTGATAACAAGCAACTGGACTCACTCACGAAAGTGGAGGTTAGTTACCCAACACAAAAAGACGTTTTAGAAAAAGGTAATTCCACTGGACACATGCAGATAAACGCAATTACTCAATTTTCCAAATAAAGAAAAATTTCAAAATTCTCTGTTTTAACTAGTTAAAATAATAACGCCGCCGCATTGAACAGTACCTATTCTCATGCACATAAAGGGTCTATATTTGAATGGGGGCGCTTCGGAGAAATAACACCAAATCTCTCCACGAAAAAAGCGAGGGGTATTTGGTGTTAGTTCTCCGAAGCTGCACTTATGTACAAAACATACATATTATAGAAGCTGAACAGTGAACATATAATAACCCAATCTTTGTGGCAATGCGCTAAAAAGTGTAAAAAGACGTCACCCCAATTGCATATTATCTACAAGAGTTACATTCTAACAATTACACAGACCGTAGTATTTGGTATATTGTTAATTAAAGGCGACTAGGTGTTCTTCTTTCCATTATTGCCGAAGAGTATCCCTAATTGAATTTACAAACCAGAGAAATTATTAGTCGTGCAACGTGAGTGTTTAGTTGCCTATACCCGCCTGCTCTCAATAAAAAAATGCTACAAATCACAATTTAAAAACACAGGTATTGGAAAGAAAATTTAAATTCCCGCAGACTGTACAGTAGCGTTTTAGAATTTAAACACGTCAAAAGTGTTCGTAATATTCCAATTAGTAACGGCATAATCCAGCACAAAGGGTTTCATTGGCTAAACTATAGAAATGATTCAAAAGACAACCCTTCCTATGGATAATCTAGTTTACCGTATGCGCAATTACCAATATTTTGTGGCCTTTCAGCTACAACGATAAGCCTGTAAAATTGATCACGTTCTGTAAATTTTTCCAATGGATAGGAAGCCCTAACTCATTTTATTCCGTAGTTTTTTTTTAAAAAAAAGGTAATTACTGAATGTGTTCATACATATGGTGATAACAAAATTTAGGTCATGAGCTCCAATTACTCATTTCCAAGGGGCCCAACAAGCTAGTTACAAAAACAAAAGCAATTGCCTGTTACAAAAGAAGGTAAACTAAGTGTTGCTGACAACCATGCATGCTAGTTTAGTAGTTTAGTTATCTATATGTATATACACACACGTTGGTTGGATTAAAAATCATGATGCCCCAAATAATATTCTTATTGAAAGGTTTCAATTTTCCAACTATTAACGGCGCAACCCTCTACAAACAGCGCACCTAAACATCTAAAAAGAAATTGCATAAGGTACTTTCTAGTTCCTATAGATGATCTACTTTACCCGATATTGAGAAAAAAGAACGTGAAAACTAGGACATTTTCAGGGACAATTAATTTAAAAGTCGCTACCAAACACTCAAGAAATCAGGAAGGAGTGAGGGAAGTGTGAAAAATGAATATGACCTACAGTTGAAGTTGTTTTAATAATTTGCTAATACAAAAACATTTCAGTTTGTTATTTTATAATAAAATTTAATTATAATCACAAATTCTTGTTGTTATGAAGACTTCATGGTTTGGGTCTTATACGTGTAATAAAAATCTTATAATAAATAAAAAATACTACACCTATTTGTAATTTTGAAAATTGTAACATGTAAGTCCCAATGCTTGCAGTTCAACGAAAATATGTATATAATACTGTTTCAGTAGGTATGTACAAATTTTCCAAAACAAAAAAAAAATCATTACATTTTCCACTGTTAGAAGCTAATGTTACGAGATGTAGACATTACCTTACAATCTTATACAAAAATAACAGACTTTTTTGGACAAATTCACAATAACAGTTCTAAAAATTCACAGATTATTAGCGAGAAGTTGAAACGAGCCACAGAACGAGAGTTATGTAACGATATCCCATTATAATAATACACTAAATTAACGTGGAAGCCTGAACAGTCAATTACCTAATACTAGATTCAACTCCTCGCCGATTACCAGTCATATTTGCAGCTTGTTCGCACCGTCCCTCACAATTAAATTGCTAAACAAAAAAAAACAAACTGTCAATATGTAGGAAATCTTAATGTAACCTCATCTCCGATGTCTAATTAGACTGTGTTATTAGATGGTGATTTATATAATATCACAGCACAATTTTACAAGCGACATAAGTCGCGCAACGAGCACATTGCACCCAAATGAATACAATACGGTGTTAATATTGCGAGACATTCCCCAATAGATAAAATTTCATAAAGAAACATTGTTGAAAAAAGTATTTTACACGTATGTCCCAAACACCCATTCATCACATATGCTTATGTCGACTATAATTTACGATCTTTGCTACCATATACAATATGTAATATATTAATTATATAATTTAACATTTTGCTAGATTAGTCTGTAATTGATTGTACAAAATTTGAGCATCACTTTAAAGCAATATACAAAATTAAATAAGTTTAATTTACTATGTACAATAATAATTTTACACTATAAAACAAATATAAAAAATAATATAATAATATAATAGAATTAATAAATAACTTATAAATGTTAACAGATAAAAAATAAGAGATGACGTATACAATTTTAAATGCTCAAAAAAATGCTACAATCAATAACAGTTGTGATGATTATATCTGTTGGAGCTATTCTTTTGACGGCTGACTATAGATGAACACTTTTAGCACAAAGTCAGTATATTCTTAAATCCCATGTACTTACTTGATTTGGTCAATTTACTTTTTTGCACATTTTCATCCCAATTTATAAACAATATTTAAAAACAGAACAATGTTCTACTGTCATTAAAATTTTACATATAAAATTGTTGAAACAAATTGCGCCAATGCGGAAATGCCAAATACACCATTTTTTGATTTCGTAGTTAGTATATAATATCGGTTAATTAAATAATGCTGCGTGTGTAAGACAAATTTAATAATGTACATAGTACATAAAGCTAAATTATAAATACTTGGCATTTATCAGTAAAGATGTTTCAACAATAGTGTTGCGGGAATAATCACTTTTTTACATAAGATAAACACATACTATGCGTCCATTTTCACTTAACAACTGTCTTGTCTTTCGTTGCTGCGATTTAATAACGTACAATTTTTTAATTATGAGTAATATTATATGGAATAGTTTTCCCTAAAAAATTCACAAATGTCACCTAGAAGTCAAAACGTGAGGTCAGACACTCGGCTTCGGACGACCTGAGTTTTGTTGCTCGGACGTTTGTCGCGGCCGAGTCGGCACGACGACCGCCGGTAACGTCGGAGCTGGAGGTGGCTGACTTTTCTTACCAGTAAATATTTTAACAGTCCTTTGAATAAAATCAGTCTTTTGTCCGCTGGATGCAGCTTCCGGTCGTTTCGAGGTCGAGGACATCGAATGACAACGCATTACTAATGGTGCACTACCTCCTGACCAATCACTACTACCCGAACTGTTACTACCTATTGATCCTAATAAGCCCGCCGAACTTGATCTGTACGGAGGCGGCGATTCTGATTCCAGCACTGTACGATTCGGAGGAGGTTTTATGCATTTTTGATATATTTCCGATTCCTGAAACAAATAAAACATTCTCATTCAAGTGTACGCAAAACGAGTTATTTTCAATATTAAAGGAACACACTAACAAAAGTACATCACGAAATAAAACTGTTGCAAACAAAAATTCCGAAAAGAGACAATAGAAAAGGTGCTACTCAACTCCAGGACTCAGGGTTCCTAGGGCAAATCCGGATTCGGCCATGTAATGATATAGTAGTGTGACGAGTATTCCAGAAATCCCAATAGATCCCAAATATTAGTCATCGGCGATAAAGAACGAAAGCGGATGTGACATAATCTTTTCGAGACGTATGACGTGTTTGTTCGAGAACATTCTAGAAAAGCTCGGAAGTGTCCGAAAGCGTTCGACAGTCGAGAAAGAGGGGGTTTTGCTACATAAGCAAATGGAATTATGATTCAGGACAGTTCCAATTCCGACGCAGAAGTAATAAATAGTTGGCGATGTTATGACTTGTGTATACGCGAATGATAAATACCGGGTGAATCATTAGAACTGATGTCAGTTTGAATTTCGCGCGTACAATTCTAGTGTTTTTTTACGGGATAGAATTGGCGATGATATATTTTTAGTTATTTTAGTAATTCTTCTAGTCACCAGTGCCATCGCTATTTCGTTAATTTGTTGTTGTTTTTAATTTACTTTTCCAATCTGTATTATCAAACAGTTCTTTCCAAAACTACGCTGTAAATTCAAGAATTTGTTAAAGTAAGTAATTAAATAACGGTTAAATTAGACTAATGTGCATTTGTAGGTTAAAAATCCCCTTCTTGAGGATCCTCCAGTCCTGTCGAGAGCAGTTTATGGAAGGAAGAGTGTCCCGATCTTATTATTTCTTATAAAGCATTTGCCAATCATAAGAACCGAATCGTTGATCGATTTGAAAACAAGAATTGCATTTGCAAAGAAGAAAAAACAGGTCATCCATTACTAAGAAACGATGAAGTGGTTGAAGACAAAGAATGGAAGCGAGTTCCAGAAAATCAATCCGTCAGTTAAGTGCCCAAGCTGGTAAGTGGTACACGAAGAATGAATATTATACCTACTAACTTTATTTTCGAATTACAGGAGTGTCTTATGCAACTTGCCAACGAATTTTGCATAAAGATCTACGAATACATACACCCGTACCGGGTTTCTGTTCTACAGCAACTACCACGCTCTTGATTATGAGAATCGACGTAATTATTGTGATTGATTTAATAACAACGACTTATTTGTAAATTAAAAATAAATTATTACTCCTTGGAGAGTGATTCTACATACACCACTGGAATTAGGCAAATGATAATCTATTATTACCAACCTTTAAAAATTTTTGTTTTGCGGGAAATTCAAACTGTCATCAGTTCTAATGAATCACCCGGTATTATTCTAGCAGTTATAAATCAATTCGTTTAAAGACTGTAATAAAATTATTGTTAGTAAATAAATGACGTAATTAAATTTACGTTACCATAAGTTGGATTAGTGGCTGAAACCCCAACATTAAAAAAAAGGGCAAAATAAATATAAATACAGAATTGCTAGGATGCTAAAAAAATCTTTGAATAAGTGACTACTTTTGCAAAACCGACAGAAAGAGACAACCACACCCAACCACCACCAGAAAAAACTGAACGCTCGTTAGTTTTTATGTTTTCACTGAGAAATCCCATGCAAAGAACCGAATTTGATTGACTGTATCTATCTCTTATCGAGGTCGAGGTGCAAATTCCATGAAAAAGCGGTAGTTTGTTTTTATTTTCACCAACTTATACTTGAGAGAGACTGCGTTTTTTTTACTTTTCTATCGATACCAAGAGTTAGTGTTACGCGAAAGTGACAATATAAACGTATTTTTGTGCAAAAACTCCTTGGACGCGTAGTAGAAAACAAGTACACACACAAAACCTGATAGTGAAGACCATACGAAAATACGGAGTAAGTAACATAGATCATAGTGCACGAGATAAAATATCGAAAAAAATAAAAATTGAAATTTAATAGGAAAACATCAAATGTGATATATCGCAAGGACAACGGGACGATACACGAGTCTACTGCAAGCTAATGCCATTAAATTAAAACATTTTAGACACTAAGTACTCCAACCAATTAATAAGCGACAGAAAAACTCGTCCGTCGCTACCATTTAAGTTTGAACTTTTTCCCAACGAAATTGGGAAACCTTTTGAATTATTTACACAGCCTGGCTCGGATTTCTGATCAACATCCTGAAATAATCACTGATCTTTGTTCTGTTGAATAATCAATTTTGAGATCTCTGCCATACGTCAGAATTTCTTTGGTCCAAAAGTAGGCCGGTATATATGGTAGACAAAATCGCGAAACGAGATAGAGTAGTAAATTTACTGGACAGTGAGAAGGTAGATTTGATGCAAACTGGTTGCCAAATTGGCAAATCGTCCTCTGGAAATGACTCGGGAGTTTTCCTCTTTTAGACATAAACATTGAAATATCAAGACTAGACAAACCTCTAATGTGCTCCATAGTATTTCCAAATCTCTCTTTCCAGCACTGTGCACTTTGCGATTTTTAATTCGTCTTGCCATTCACGTCGATTACTTAGGTTTTTGTGTCAACCTACGAATTAATAAAAAAGACGTGTGCGTTTCCACGTTGAATGATAAAACCTCTGGACCATTTTCGTTCCAATAGTGCAGCGATACTGCGAACCAACGAACGTCCCAATCATGGCCTAATAAGAGTATGGTCTGCTATTGCGCATTAGTCGGCTGGCGTTGATGTGACGTCACGCGGTTGTGAAACGAACTGCTGCCGGCAAGACTCCCATAAGAATAAGTAAGAAAGCCTAACAATTACGGTGAAAAGTTTTCATTCATAAAGTGCTTACACCTAATTAGAGCTTATCTGCATATATCTACGTAACAAACTGTGTTGTATTACAAAAACAAAGTAGAAAGTCATTAGGTTTTAATGTAAAATATGCACAAAACATCAATTCAGACTGTTTAAAACATGAGGTTTTTCATTGGTTACTAATCGTTCGTCTTTCTGCAGAAGTCCCGCAGTTTCTCATTTTTTTAAATTTCGTTTCCGAATTCTTATATACGTCCTTACTCCAAAGTTCAAAGAGTATCGTTATATTATATGCTCTTTGCTTTAACTAAGTGGTCGAAAGCGTCGTTAGGTATCAATGTCTTGTCACATGATGCATTAAGTTTATTACTTTTCAATAAAAGCAAAATAATTTGTTGGCTTTTTTAAATCCCGTCCAGATATAAAATAATCCAATTATCGCCTATTTCAAATTCGGCGATTTCGCCTAAGAATCGGTATTTCGTTTTTAATTTGTATGCAACGTAAGCAGTCATATAAAGCGAACCTTCTTTATGAATGTTCATTGTTTCTTGAGCAAAATGAAGGTAGGTATTTCAGCAATACCTTCTTGCAATGTTGGCCCGTTAAACAAGTATTATAATTTCCGTCAAGTTTTCTAATGGCTGAGCAAAGCAGCATTCGCCGGCCCTTTGGAAGGTATATTTACCAACAAATCTTGGTGTCAAAACATATTCCGTATCGTACCTATCTACCTATTTATTATTAGGTTGTTGTATAAATCTATTAACGATCGGTTAGATCTTTGAGTGAAGGTGTAGCCATCAATCAGATGCCGATACAATTATACCCCGCTGAAAAGCAACATGTTTTGGAAATGTATAATAACTTGTATTTAGTTTTTCTATTGTTATTATTGCAACCAGACACCACACAATGGACCATTGTAATAAAGTAATATAGCTATATAATCGTATTTATCACATATGCAATGGAATATCGAAATATTAGCACATATTTATTCATATGCGCTTGTACACTATTTCAGTGTACACTATTTCAGTGTACACAACCGTTTGACATCATGCGCGACTTGTGCGAGATTTCGTTCACGGGAATAGCAGACCATACTCTTATTAGACCATGGTCCCAATCATATCGAAATATCCGGGGCTATCCGGATAATCTTCCGATTCAAACAAGATTTTGAGCCCCTCTTTATATTATATCAGAACTAGAACAACATAACAAAAATGGAACCAGAAGATTGAGGAAAAGGAGACCACAATCGGCTTAAGAAATGGTGAAGTATACTGGAAAGTTGAGTGCATATTTACCTGTTCTGAATCTCTAATGTGCAGTCTAGCGTTATTAAAAGGATGATCTTCACCATCCGGAAGCGCTATACTGGGCGGCAGGTTTATGGCAATGTCAGTATGTACAGCATGCAATCGGACTTGACGATCTCGTGTTGCTGCCAGTTCTCGGGCCGCCCCATGGCTTCGCAGCCGGTCCATGCCGCCCACCCCCGCCGCGGCGCCGGCGCTTACCACCGACAGCATCTGAAACATTATTGCCATTGTCAAAACACAAAAAATCCCTGTAACCTACTATTAAACAAAATAAACAGTTAAGCGCGAAGATTAATGAGTTGCCACCGGCGCGTGATTAATGAAGACTGAAACTGAAGAGGTAAGAGGTGGAGGTGATGCAATGTGTTTGGGTTAGGTACCATTGCATCCGCATTTCTAAATCCCACACACCTTGCAGCACTTACAAATGTATCAGTGAGCGCGATTAGAACAATAATAGAACCGAACCCATTTCATGTATGGGCTTGACGCTCGGTGTCACATTAGCAAGGTGACACACACATAACGTTTGGTGTCAAGTAGAAATGCAACAGTAGCCAGTAGGTCAGAATGTTAATTTGTCGGTGGCGTTCAAGGTGAATAAGTTTTGCATTTACGTGCACATTTTTTGCCGCGAAGGTCACTAGAATAATTTCATAATTAGGTCAATTATTCGCAATTAATATGTATTGTACATGTCTCAATAATAGACAACAATAGATAGATTGTTCCAATTACGTGCAATTCTACGCTAAACGGACATGGCGGAAATAATTTGACCAAAATAACAACCACGAAATTTAATGCGGTTTACGTATATTAATTATCGTAAAGTAGGTTGTTATTGCATTTTAAAAAGAAAATGACACTTCACTCAAATCTATATAAAGTAAGTGAAGTCATACGACACGCGCGCGTCCTAGCAACACGGTCAGTGGTTTTGTTTGACTCACGGGAAGCAAGTCTTTGTTTGGGTAACTCGTCGTCTCGGTAGCAAAATGCATGCCAAATTTATATCGAGCAGCACTAATTAGGACATCAGAAAATGTTAATTTTGGCATCGGAAATGTTAAACCGTTAATTGCACAAAGAACACCACAAACGGAATATGCAAATGAAATCAGGTTAACTCTACAACAAACATCCAACAATGGATTAACCTCAAAACCTAATGTAATCGAAGACAGTTTTACCGTACATCTTCTATGCTTCTGATAGAATTTTAAAAAAAGTACCAGCAGTATCCGCCAGCACGATTCACGAGTATTACAATTCGCATAATGTTAAAAATGTAGCAGGAGAACACAGTATGACAATAAATGATACTGTTCTGTGGTACAAACAAGAACAGACATAATGCGTCAATAAATTTGCTTTTTTCTTACGGCGCGGCTATCCTGATCCCGATTTAACAAAAAGAAACAGAAGTGCGTTCTTCAATCCTTACAAAATTAAAAAATGTATCAGGAAAACATATTACATAATATGTCAGGTGTTTCTACCCATATATGTCTTTGTTTCTGTGATCCTGATATAAGAATTAAACACAAGTACATAGTAATCGTGCATTCGTATTATCACTTATTAAATAAAAACACTTTCAGGCGAGATATACCTAAGTTGTACTTTTTTTGAAAAATATGAGGATATTACAGAAGAGGTGTTCATTCATTAAGAAATTTAGTCACATTAAGTCTATAAATTTTACACTTTCTATTTCTGCGATCCTGATCTGACAAGAATTTGGATCAGAAAAGCACGTGAGAAAGTGTTCACGTTCCTGTATTTCTGATATCCTGGGACCAAAAAAGGGCATAATAATTTTAAATCTTCGCACGTTCTTGTGATCCTGTTGCAACAATTTATAAACAAGAAATTTTTCATCACAGATACAAAATGTGTTCGCTAATCAATTTTACGCCGCCTTGCGTTTCTGTAAACCTGGCACCACCAGGGGAACATAATAGCCAATTTTCTTGAAATAGTGTAGTGACAGTTACAGTACGCGAACTACCTATAATACCAAAGGTTACTCGTTTAGAATCATTACAATCCCCAATAATTTATGGGCATATTTCCGCATTTTTTACTTCCCTGTCACTTGTTTGATAAATGACGATTACTATCTTTTATAGGTTTCTTAATATCGGTGAAGTTGACCCGATAGAGATCGCACTGTGCTCTTGTCAGTGTTATCGATCAAGGCTTACCTCGACAAAACTTGTCTCTAACTGTATGAAACGTGATATCTTTATGCTTGCCTGTACCAAACTGTAAATTGGGCCTAATTTACGCCCCTACTACGCTAGCCATACAAAAGACGTTAGTGTATTCACTATCCAGCTTCTCTTCACCGAGAATATCTATCACCTGATTTCTAAACCTTCTGCGATGCTTTATAGTTCTCCAATGCTGCTTCCCAGAGCAAGTATCTGCTCTCCTGATTGGATTTTCTGTTTTAGTACGTAGTATTTTTTAAATGGAAATTTTTTTTTTTTGGAAATTTTCTAATATACCAAATATGCCATTTCAGACTGATATAAACATCGGCCCGGTGCGACGTAAAGTGACTTGGTTCATGTATCAATGGGTACGCAAAATACCAGAGTGCGACATCAACGAAAAAAGATGGTTTTAAAAAAACCGTCCAGCCGTTTAAGAAGACTTCAGTCACAAAAACACGTACGGAAGAATTTTATGTATTAAAATTAAAAAATAATTTTTTAATTTATGAGCTATTTATTTATCTATAATTTCTTCAAGTTTAGAACGTTTTTCAAAATTTATCTCGACTGAGTACTTTAAAACATGATTACTCAGAAATTACTGCATAAATAAGTTATTGATTACCATGGGTTTTGTGGTCAAGTAGGAGACAATAATTCACCTCTGGTTCTGGTCACGTTTTGCTTAAATTCATTAATTATTTATAGGTTAATTGCTCTATGCACAGCACGATTGTTGATCATCGAAAATATAAACAAGTCTGCTCATTTTTCATGAGGGAACTTGCATCACCATAACATTTGCATATTTTCGAAAAAGAATTATGCACAAACACCTTGAAAAAGCCCAAATTAAAACATTCACTGAGCGAAAAATTCGTACTAATTAAGCGCTAATTTTTTTTAAAAACGATTTTTTTTTAATTGCTTAGCGCGACAGATTAATTTGTTAATTAATTATATTTCGGCGGTTTCGTTGCATAATTAAGTGGCGAATTTTCCAAATGTCCGACACTTTAATTGGACCGCATTACTCGAACCTTAACTTTTTTAGACAGGATGAGGTCTTCAAAGGGAAAACGTTGTAAGAGGCCCGAAAGGCTAATTTGTTTATACAATTTTAATGTCACGAATTTATCGATCGTAATTATTAACTGTAGTTTTTCAGAAAGCTGGCCGAAAAAAGTGAAACCCACCATGTAGCACCAGAAGCCGTCCGAAATTCGTTAAAATAATAATTACAACTGCAAGTGCGCCTAGGGGAAGGGAAGACGTGCCCGATAGAATGATAAGTTAAGGTGTTCGTGCAGGTGCAATGAGAAAAAGACGGCCGCGCATAGCAATCAGCAGGTGTGGGGCCGACGACCCTCGATGCGGGGGCAGCCGTTACTTGTCACGTAAAACAATTACCAATTATTATACCGTAAATAGCGCACGTAGGTACATGCACGACAGACCAAATGGCGATCAGATGGAAACCGTGAATAAAAAAGGAGAAATACAAATTTAATGCACTTTAAAAGTCTATTTGAAAAGTTCAGATAACAGTTAAACTAATGCCGGAAACAGGATAAGCGTTTGCTTTTGTTTGGATCGCTTCCTTGTTCATGGTCTGAATTGTATACGTTTTCGTTCTATAATTTTGTGATTTTGATCCCACGTGCGCGTTTGGATTCGGTTGTTCCATTCAATTTTCGACGAGATCTATTTTTTATTAATTTTAGCATGAATTTCGTACGAGGGTTGAGATCTCGCCACCGAGACCTCGCAAATTTTTCTTCCAATAAGTGCTTACACTGACACATACCCACTAACTTCTTACTTTTTGAGGTATCTCAAACACATTTCTAATAACATTGAAATAGCAGCCCTATCAAAAATTGTACTGTTGTACACATTCCATCTTGTTACATTTTTTTAAATTAAATCTCCCTCGTTAATTTAATCGGTACGTAAATAGCCACTACTGAGATGGTTCCAGAATCATTAAGGGAAGATTAATCAAAAGGAAAACTTTAGGGTGCCAAATGTTGTTCCAAAGGGCGACATTTCCCTTTTGAGAATTTCAAAGTCATACCAGCTCTGTCGCAGTTTGACGAAAACTCGTACGTTTTGAGTTTTTGACCAGGATAAGAACATCGCATAGCCATTGACGCAAATGGAGAATAATAAAGTTCACAAGATCTTGTGAGATAAATACAGATACCAATTTTATGTTCGTTTTATCAGGCTGACCTCCTGTAAGACACATTTAAAGGCGTTCAAAAGGTCAATAACTGATAGGAAGGAACACTTTGTACAAAGCATCCCGACGCACATGTGAACAAAAGTACTAAATTATGACCTTTAGTGCAGCATTTTTCATGGTTCATCTCGGACTTTGATGTATGATAGAACACATTCTCATTCCGTATGCGGTTGAAAAGCGGACTATTATGGAATGTACCTATTCAAATGGCGAAAAACTCGGGTTAAAAGTTCCCACGAAGTCTTACCACCAGCCACCAGTGAGCTCTCAAACTACGGGGTGGATCTTAGTCTGCACGAGTTTAAAGACTCCGCATCAGAGTTCGGATATAAAATACTCGAAGACTATAAAGCCCATTCTTTACTCGCTTTTAAGAGAATTTCAACAACAATTTCTAAAAGCTTCCAAAAGAATTCTAAAACCTTTAGGGGTTTTTGCGCGTGTTTAAGGGTCTGTTCGATTACAATAATTCAACGTTACGTCAGTCGACTGACCGAATAAGGAATCTAGTAAGTTCAAATTCAAAAATTGTCCACTCACGCTTCTTAATTATGTCAGTCAACTAAAATGGCGTTGAACTATCGCGCTATAACCAGTCTAGGTACTTCTTAGTGCACTTAAGTTTAAAAGTCTTCAAGAGATTTTAGTAGTCTTTAAAAATGTTCAAGGGTCCAGTTCCAGAAGCTTTCTCTCTTTAAAAACTCAGCTTTTGTGTATTTTAGAAGTCTCAAGGGATGTATAAAAAATCCTTAAGAGCTTTAGGAACGCTCACATCTAAGAAACCTTGATTATACAAAAAATGTTACAGCTGATTCCACGTTGGTCGAAAATGAATTACATTTTATGTTTAATCTAGGCGAATGGATCGCAATCGAAACCGTCGTTCATTGTTTCTAAATTACCACAGAAATCTATTTTGTTTAACTCATCCAATAAGAAATACATAACTACTTACTTAGTATAAAGAGAATTTTAAAACTATGTCGTTAATTTAATTTTTCTCGAATATGATCAAAGTGGCTCGCCCTGGTATTTTAAAGCACCCCGTATATATTTTTCAAATAAATACGATTATTAACAAAGAGCGTCGTATAAATTATCTAAAACTACGTATCGGTTACAAAATTGTCCAAAAAGGTAAATATACAGGGTGTACTATTTAAATTTTAAAATTCCGGTTAAACCGGAAGTGATAGTAGGGTACTATTTAGCGTAATTCTACCCAAGTTACAGCGATGCGCCTAGTTTGGTTTACACACTGTACATAAAAGGCTTTTTTGAAAATTAAAAAATGCGCGAAAAACGTACTTCATTTATTATAAATATTAATACATTTTAAAAAATATGAGGGGAAATGAAAAATGTAAAAAAACAAAAGAAAAAATGTTTCCACATATAGGTAATATCCATCATTTCTCCTACACCTATCTTATGCGGTTATTGAAAGATTTAAAAAAATTTAAAAAAAACTAAAAAAGCGCTTTTTCAATAAATATTCATACTTCCTATTTTTAACGAAAATTTTATTTTTGGCTTTTTAGTGCAAATTCTGTGTCCTGTTTATGAAAAGTGTCTTTTTTTGAGTTTTTTAATGTTTGTTTTTTTAGCAATTTATATTGTTACTAAAAAAAAAGAATTTTTACGGTCGTGGCCGTATACAACTAGACATACGAGGGACGAAACTACAGGCCTTGGCCTTGGCAGACAGCGAGTGACAAGTTCGTCACTGACAGACAACCAAACAAATAAGGAATTAACCATAGAAGTATTTTTAAAAAAACGCAAATTTTGTTACCTGAACACGCATGTCCCAAACTCAATTTTGAAAACGTACCTCCTACACGGACGTAATGATTTACACTCTGTAATGACTGATTATGTACGATAGTTTTGAAGCAAGCGTTTTTGGCGAGAAAAGATATCAGTTTCAAGGGATGATTTATTGGGGTTTAACTGCACCTGCATAAGCGAGACGAATTGGGGTGGGTCATTCCTTTTGAGTTGCGACTACCAGTTCCGTAATGTTATATTTCAATATCACTTAATTAATTTATATACAGGGTGTCCCATTTATCTTGAGATAGTTGATTATTGCAGAAACTAGCGGAGATATCGAAAAATGATTTATATATTAATAATATTCTTCATATGGAGGGGCTCACTTCCTTTCCAAATGTACAGGGTATTTCATTAGAGCAATATAGGGCGATATTTCTCGACAGACTAATACTACAAAATAAGTTAAAATACACAATGGGGCACTTTTTTTGGGAGAATGTGAATGTGTTATGAGAATTTCCATAAAACGCTACATATGCTTCTACTTCTTATTTATTATGGGCGGCATATTGGATTTTTACGGAATGAGGTAGAGAAATAAAAGGAATTCATTTGAATGCATCGCAATCACAGCCATCTTGATTTAACAAGATCTAGAAAGAAATGAATCTCAAAAATTTGATTTTGAAATTTTTCTTTTAAATTTATGTAAAAGTATAGTGTGACACGTAATTATTATTCTTTTTTTTGTGCTCTATTATCTCATTCCGCAAAAATCCGATATGACGTCCATCAGAAATAAGAAAGTAGTACCCCGTAACTTCTAACCTAGCGTGTTATGGAAGTGCCTCCAACAGTTTTCAAGATTTTTTAGTTCGTTCTTTTTGCATTCGGTAGCCTATAGCTCTGGGACCTCAACCAAAACGCATTAATCCATTCCACGCAATGTCATCTTTCTATCCTAAAAAATACGATTTCGGGAAAAATTTACTATAAAACTTGTCAGTCAAATGACTTGGCTCGAAAATTAAAGTACTCGGCCCCGAAGAGGACTCGTACTTCAATATTTCCTCGCCAGTAGTATGTCATTTAACATTTACCTGAATTTTATGTAATACTATTTCATTCATACAGAAGAAGTAAGAATAATGACTTACTCGAGGACTTACTCAATATAGTATGCATTTTTTTTACGCGGCATATAAAAAAGTAAAGTACATCGGGAAAAAAATCGTCTAATTTCGGTTTTTCTGGCACATCTTCGGATGTAATCGGAATCGGAGTCTTTAATCGTGCATCTTTTCTCTAACCACCAACACCTCCTTTGGTTTTGGAGATCTCTATGATAGGCATCCTTATCTTGAACACAGTGTATATGGCATGTGTTACATATAAATAAGAAAGCGTATTGCTTAGTGACAATTTTAAAATAAAAAGACAGCTTCTCAAGTGAAAAAAGGACGCATGGCTGTTTCCAATTTCTGGGTTTATGTATAGGCAAACACTCTGCAGAATATTGCCAAATTTTCGAAAAATGTTAAAGAAAGTATAGGTGTGCACTAATCTGCATTTTAAAACAATAAAAACGGTACGGTTAGAACAATCCATTATTGTAATAAAATATAGAGCGTTCCTTTTGAAATAAATAAAGTCGTGTATCAAACTCCATTTATTGGAGCAAAAATGTTGTAGCCTCATCCTGTCAAGAAATATCGACCGCCATCGCACTGTTAAGACACCCTGTATAAATACAAAATTACAAAGTGATGATTTCAACCGAAGATTAGCACGTTGTAGAGCCTATATTTTACTGGCCGTTTTCCCGACGGAATTAATGAACAAATAAAGTTATAAATAGTTAGAAAAACAGCGATTGGAACTAATACTAGAAACGAATGTTTAAAAAATGGTTTAATACAATATAAATTTTATTGGCGTTACATTTACGATAGGTATTTGTAGACAGCTGATAAGTCGGGAAACGGTCGATTATTGGGGAAAAGATACAATATATCAAAAAATGTCTATGTCTACTAGGCAGTAAGTAATAATTTTAATTATACAGGTTGGTCATCAATGGATTTTTTTAATGGAACACCCTGTACTATTCGATATTTCAATTCTTCTCTTCATTTTAAGCAAAATTTGTAAGAAGTATAATGTACCCAAATTCAATGGTTCCCGGCTAGGTTCCCGAGCTATCGAATCCGCGGGTAATCCTCGGGGTAATCTAATTATAATACACAGCACAATCGGTTCTTTTCACAGTCACAGGGTTTTCAAACGAAATTCGTGATGTCATTAATTATTAAAAAGTCACAAAAAGCGAGTTTATGATTTTGGACTTTCTGTCCGTTCGTCTGTGGACACGAGAACTCACTAACGGTTTGGAATTTTCCAATTCTGTTTTTAGCAATAGGTAGACACTCGGGTAGACAATGGTCAAGGGACTAATTGATTAAATTTTGGTCAATATTTGTCAACCGGAAGTGATTGCCACTCGTTGTCTATATTGGTGCAGTTTATTGTTCTTCATTCCATTAATTTTTAAATAGCGTTTATATTCAAAACTCCATAACCCGGAAACGATTGAATTTAAGTAAGTTATGTTTCTAATTTTGCTTAAAATTGAGAGAATTGAAATAGGGGTGTTTCCTCTAAAAAATGCAATATTGTTCCACGCCTTTATGACAGCCCAAAACTTTTTTTGATATCTTGTATGTTTTCCCGGGCAATCGACCGTTTCCAGACTTATAAACGACCCTGTGTATAATACCATATACTCTTAAAATGCACTTATTTTTCTTCATATGTTTGCCTAAGAACTAATAAATTTGGAAATTATTGCCATAAAAATTAACCGTATGTATAATATATACATTTTATTGGTGCCATTTAAGGGTTGATATGTGTAGATTCCGTAAAATAAACTTGTCTGTACCTACCTAATTTTAAACTTTATTTTTAGCAAGTTTGAACTTCATTTGGCAGTTATCGTGTTCACGGACAGACGGACACCATCGACTCCCCTATAAAGCTTGCATGTTTTGCTCTGCCTCTTAATAAAAATCGATGCTCACGAGAATTATTTTAGCGACATTGAAAGTTCTACGGTTTCCAGTATTATTCTCGATTTTTTGTTTGAAAAAATAAAATTTTCTCTGGAATGAAATGTTAACAGATTTATTCGCGCATGGTATACCGAAATGTGATTGCGGCAAGGAAATTACGAACGCGAACTTTTCAATTTTTCAGCGAGTTTGATTTCCCTTTTTATACGCGAGTATGTAAAACGCTAGATGTAATCAGGTATCACGGCTCATTAATTTTTCGTTTCGCGATATTGACTTTTGAGAAAAGTTGTGGGATTTCAGGAAGTCGACGCTTTCGTGAGAAATTGCATAATCGATAATAAGAGAAAAAAAGGCGTAAGGAAATTGATTGACTAGACTGTGAGTCAACAGCGAGGCATCCGTAAATATTTACAAACGGTACATAAAAAAAAGGTCGTACAAGTTACACACCCTAAGGGGGTCACATTGAGTTTACCAGGGTCGGGGCCGTACAGCCTACACGCGCCGCGTCCTTGGCTTGGCTCTGTCTGCCAACAGTCTGGCGCAAGTCGCCCCTTGCCTGGGGAGCACAGTCATCCTTCAAGCCCTCCGCCGTTCTTGTTGCAGGTGTACCACGCGTTTTTGTCGCCGTCGCCGACGTCTACACTTCAACTATCGACGGTGGCCCGCCACCGCATTTTTTACGAAACTCAAAATAATGACTTCCCTAATTGCGAAATACTATGAATGGTGCACCTACACTAATTTACCTAAACTATTAATATCGTTCGTGTAATTCACGGACGAATATTATTAGCAAAATTGAAATTAATTACCTTTTTATTTACGCTAAATTTATTTCGCATAACACAGAGAAACTTTCGAACGGCCCTCTTCGCGAAGCCAGAGGGCGAAGTCGGAGGCACCACTTTAACTACGGCCTGAACCATCACCAACAACAAACCGAAGTATACTAACGACAAGTGCGCGGCAAAGAACGTGACAAACGTGGGTTCGCGAGTTGTTCTGTCTAGACAGTCGCTATCATTTCCCCACCACTTCATACTCTCTGATAACAGAAACAGCCATTGTCGTAATCCCCCCATATGGCCCACTTATAATCACGACAATTCCCATATTACAGCACACCAAACTACTAATGATTTACTAATCCACTTCCCTTAATACACCTTTTTTCCGATCGTAATTGCAAAAATAATGCAGTACGCTGCTATTACATGATCAAGTCTAGACAGTCGCCTTCATACACATTTTTTTACTCGTACTGCCTGCCTTTTTCACAAACTGGAATTACCAGCACCAATGTTAATAAGTGCTACGATTATTGACGTTTTTATTACAAAACTCGCATCGTGCGTTCCGCGAATGATACGTGTGCGTTTACGCGAACTTCGCGGAATCATCAAACGCACCTGCTCAATAGAAAAGGAAACCTCCACTAATCGCGCCGCAATTGGAAATATCCCAGACGAAATGTAATTAATATAATTAACAGGAAACAGTTTCCGTAATTGCGCCAACAAACAAAAACGCGCGCGTTATCAGCGCCGTGATAAGCGAATTTGCTACTCCCAAGCGGGATCGCGTCACGTCTGGCATATTTTTAATTACCCAATACTGGTCACGTCCATCCATTAATATTTATAGTTTTTTTTTCCAAAAGAGGATGTAGATAACGGTTCGACGGTGTAAACTTTGTTTTCCTTATTCATATGCAAAAATTGGAGAATTAATTAAAGCGCGCCCGGTTAATCTAATTAACATTTTTACAATTGCCAGAGACGACAATGGCAGGTCTTTTCGTCGTGCGAATTACCTACGCTTGAAACTGTGCCACGTGATTTACGAGTTACTTATTCAAATCGAGCACGCAGACACCCCCTTTCAAGGTGAGGCTAGCGCGTGAATTTGCACCCCAAAGTTGGGCGATTGCAAGAACCGTTTGCTGGCTATTTTTTGTGATCAAAATAACTTTGCACCTTTTAATAAATCAGATCTCGGAAAATTAAGTTAATTTTTATCGAACGTCTTGCATTTCATCCTCCCGCCCCTCTTAACAAGTTAAAATGACACGTGTGATATCAGGTGTTACCAGCTTCGTTTCAGAACACTTCTGCCCCGGTCACTTACGTCCAGGGTAATTGGTTTAGCGAAGGTCAGACAATTGCGCCTCAAGATAAAATTGGTGCACCTCAAAGAAGTGACATTGAAATTATTCGAAATCGATTGTCGGTTAACAGAACTTTGAACCCCCAGAACTATTGTTTTCATTAAAAGTTTTTGTTCTTCAGAATTAATTATGGTTATTTTGCACATAGGTGTAGGTCTAAGAATATTTGGATTTGTTTTGCTCTATTTTGTAAAATAAAACCTATATAGGTACAGTGCTATTTTTTTAAGAAGTAGACATAGGGATTTATGTGTATTGTTTTTCCCTATGTCTACTTTTAAATGACAAAATCTGTTCTGATCATTGAAATAAAAGACTATTTATTTCAATGGTTCTGAAGGGTTCCTAATTTTATGCAACCAAATTAACTTCTTAAAACAAATAAAGATCTGGATGTCGCATTAATCTCTGGCTTCCGTAGTTTTATATTCCTTCGTATGCGATGTATCGATGTGATATTGTCAATTGGTAACAGTTTAAGGAGCGTAAGAGATTTATTTTCTGTCAAGCCAAAGCTACAATATTTAAATTAATTAATATATGACAGCCAAATGTTTGTTTAAAGTTATTTTGGATGCACTGAATTATGCGCCATTCAGAAGAGATTTTGTCTTTTAAAAGTAGACATAGGGAAAAACACTTCTATATATTTAGTCTTAGGGTTAAAGAGAGAGTAATAAATCATTGGGGTTGGAAAACGAATACACGATGGTGGATTCCGCATTAAATGTGTAGATAAGAGTCCGTGAATAGGTAATGTAGGCGAACAAGGAAGGCCCTTTGGACATCTTGTGACGGTTACTTTTATTTTAGTGTACGAATTGGATAGGTATATGAATTTTAGTTTTAGAGTATGGATGGATGTTGATTCACTTTCGTCGCCGTTAGTTTCGGGTTTATTACGTTGCGAGTTTTCTTGCAGAGGTATACAGATTAAGATGGCGCATTTGGCAGCCTAACCCTCGTCTGAAAATTATTGCTGGGAGGCCTTAATCGAGACTTTTGGGTTTTTTTAGCTTAAAGAAAGCAGAGAAATAAATGTCTTTGTGCGGCTTGCGGGATCCAACCATTTAACTACGTCGATTTGTGGATTTTTGGAACCACGCAATGCAGTAACATTTTGTTGGTGCAGTAAGCAAAGTTAATTTGTGCCATCCGCTTCTATAAGAAGGTGAGAATAGTTCTATTCTAATATTGTCTTTGGTTGGGTCGCTGTTATACAGTGCGTTTATGTTGTCGTACAGAAAATTGATTGCTCTTTTCAAATATCGTAAAAACATAATAGGAATTGCATTTGAAAAATAAAAAGTTGCATCGATTTTCGCGGTTAAACCGGAAGTGATACCGTAAGTTTCAATATGCTATAAGATAGATCGTAATGTCACATATAAAATTATTCGTATCTCGCCAAATAAAAGAGATATTGAGGGGACCCTCTTATCTCAAACGCACTGTATATTTGAAGTATATTTTATCAGTTCCGGTGGAGTCGTCGTCATGTAGGTTGTGATGCAGCTGTATGGGGGAGAAGGAACCTGAGTATCCGTTGGAAACACCCTTGAAATCGAGGTACCTATCCGTTTTCTGTCAATTGACGTTAAGCTCTTCGTTGTACGGGTGGTGCATGGGGGGGGGGGGGGGTTGACCGGGTTTGAACGTTCACATCAAATTGTTATCAAGGAATCTGTGGATTCCATTTTAGATCGTACCGAATTGGGGGGCCTAACCCTTCGTTGTTAATGATTAGAGAAGTCATCTCGTACTTCTGATAAACAAAATCGATTCACCGGTAAACAAGCTTAATGGTTTTTTTGTGCTTAGTTCGACAATTATCGATTAATCCTAGGATTAATCGATAACTATCGATAATTAAAGGTAACTTTCGATAATAATCAAATCGATAACTTTTGATGATTATCGATAGCTTTTGATAATTATTGATAACTTTTGGCAATAATCAATAACGATCGACTATCTATTAATCGATAATAAGTTAAAAGTAACAAGTTATCGATTAAGCGATAATTATTGATAAGTTATGGATTAATCGTTTTTTGCAAAGCTGATTTAAGGATTCTTGTAAGTCTACAAATAGTGGAGTTATGGCCAGAAAACCGAAAAATGAAATTTTCTAAAATGCGCTGGCGTTCATTTACTTTCAAAGATATCAAACAATAGTTTTAACAAACTCTTAGCGATTTTTTCTCAGATTTCTGATGGTGGTGGTAAAATAAAATTTGTATGACTTGTGGGTTGCGAATAAATCCCATCAACTTTCTTATTTATTATGGACGCCATATGGGATTTTTACGTCACTGGTTTTTTATTACAAAAAACTAGTAATACTAAACACTTAATAATTCATTTGGGAATCAATCTTGAAATTTACAATGTATTTCTTATGGCAGTAATTCCATGGTCATGTTGATGGTGACCATGTCAGAGAATAAACGAAAAATGTTACATAATTTCAAGAGTCACAAAAATGGAAATTAAGTACGTTATTCTATTCAAAAAATGAAATAAAACCTACTGAAAAAATTAAAAAAGTAAAACAAATGAAAATATATATTTAAACAATATGATCGAAATAAGAACATGGACAAATGAGTACATCAGAAAAAAAACATGAAAAGCAGAATATATTATAAATCGGTAATAAGACCAATTATGAAAGAAACGTTCCCAATATGTCCGAAGCATTTTTGAAACATTTCCAATACATTCTAGACACATTTTTTAATTTTCCTACACTTTTCCGAAAAATTTCTAAACGTAAATTCTAGATCCAACTCAAAAAATTTTTTAAAGTCTGCGATATGCCATCACTTGAATTAAGTCCAGTTTTAATGTGACAGGTGAATAAACTTTTCGACAATGACTCCATCGGTCACTAAAAATGCGCAAAATTCACTTTTTAAGCGTTTTACCAACCAAATTGATGCCTAAATACTGACTTTTTATCAAAGTACCCGCGGTCGGTAGCTTTCAGACTACGCGATTCAGACTAACCCAATAATACGAATTTAACACCTACAACCCGAAATCTGTACGACATTCCGTTGATGAGATCTCGAGTGATTTATAAATGACTTGTTTTCAAGTTTGTTAGTTTAGGCGTTTACGTGTAAGCTGAATAGCATCCTGGTCCCTGGAGAATACATCTCAGAGGGGCAAACAAGTTAAAGTGAACTTTCACTTTGCAAACTATTATCGCAGTTTCATATTTCAATTGCAAAATTTGTATTTAGTTTCTGCTGCAGGCTTCAGACCGTATGTAACTATTCTAAATTGTTATCAGAAATCACGAAATAAGGATAATTCAAATCGTATATGCGTATTTTGCATCACCTCGTCCTGTGTACATGGAAATCACTGATAAATCATTCGCGTTCGCGCGAGTGGCTAAAGCGCATTGTGACCGGACTGGTAGATAGTAACTTTTTTAAGTTGGAAGTTGGGTAACTTTTTCTAATACCACTTTCAAACACTGTATGAAAACAATAAAGTACCAAAATAAAGAACGAAGATTTGCTTGGCAACTTTTAAGAATGAAAAATTATCAGAAACGGAACAATAACAGAGATTGGAAAACTACCAACAGCGGTATCGTCCCGACGTACAGGAAACCATTTTTGCCGTGGCAATTTATTATACATCCTGAAAATACCAACGTCACTGATACGAATCGACATTTAGAATATGCGGAATGAAACGCTATGCTATGGGAGATGCATTGTGTTTATGTAAATCCGCTGGAAATGTCGCAAGTGCCCATATTTTGCGCCGCACTGCTAGTTGTGGGTGATTTGGATTTTTTGTTAAATTAGCATTCCGTCTTGGCGATAATTATGGAGTTAGTTCTGCGCATATTGTAGTATGTAAACAAAGTAATTGTATATAATCAAATCATAAATAAATTTAAGGACAGCTCCCCCACCTTGTCACCTCGTAAATAATTTGTTTATTATTTAGTAATGCGGAAACACACTTTTGTAACCGAACCGACCTTCAGAATGTCACTTTGTCTGGTTCACAATAAACAACATCCCATAACGTTGATTAAAACCAGTTATTCTGTTTTTGGTTGGACATTATCCACCCGATATAACTGTAGATGAGTGGAATAACAGAAATTTCGT